GCCTCTACCCCTCGTCGGCCCGGCCCCTACCCCTCGTCGGCCCGGCCCCTGCCCCTCGTCGGCCTGGCCCCTGCCCCCTGTCAACGCGGCCTCTAGCCCTTTGTTTTTCTAACACCCAAGCATCACTTCTTCTCACCTGCCCTCTCCCGTCCCCTTTCATCCCCATCAAGTTGGAACTTGTATGTCAACTTTCCTCCTATTGTAGAACGAAGGAAGTTTTTCTCTGATCTCTTTCTTCAGGAAACAGGCAAATAAGGTGAGCGTGGGTACTTTGACCTCCGACCTATCTCAGTTTCTCTCTTACAGTCCCAGAGGTTAGGTCCCCACAAGATGACCCTTTCGTGCGAGGTAGGGTAATGCTGGAGCCGTAATATATACATGTCAGGCCTCCAGTGGTGCTGCCCACATTGGGTATTCTTGAACAGCGGGTGGCTTCCCTTCGAGCTGTGCTGCAGAGACCCAGCCTTCTTGTGTTCCGGGGCTCTACCACACTGCACTCATGTCTTTCAATGTCGCCACACTGGCCTGCAGCAAGACAGCGGAAAGAGTGTCGTAGAAAATCACACATAGAAGCTTTTCTTTCTTTCTTTCTTTTTTTTAGAGGAAGAATGAGAGAAAGGAAGAAAAAGAATAAAAAAAGAAAAAGAATAAAGGAAAGGAAGAAAGAGGAAGAGGGAGAGAGAACAGGGGTGTTGCTTTATTGCCCGGGCTAGAATGCAGTCTAAAACCGGGTATGCCTGTAATTGTGTTTAATAATAGAGACATTTAAAAAAAAATGAGGGAAGAAAATAATTAACAAGCAGCCAACCAATATTTCATTTAAACCTGTAAATACATGTAATGTAGTACTGATAAGAGTGTATATTTTGTGTATTTAAAGTGGAGAGTTCTATGAATGTTAATTAAGTCTACGTGTTCCGGATCTGAGTTCTCATCTCATCAATGAGACAGAAAGAAGCTTTCCATAGGACAAACCTGGCAACGGTGCATATTGGTTTCATTCATAGTGCACTCATGACATCCCGTGTTGAATAGCTAGTCCCGTGGTTCCCAAGATGCAGGTTGCATCACAATCACCTGGGAACGGTTAAGACCTAGATTGCTGAGCTGCAGTCTCAGAGTTTCTGACTTTATAGATCTGAATTGGGTCCCAGAATTTACATTTCTAACCAGTTTCCAGGAGATGCTGATGCAGATGATCCTGGGAAAACAGACGACCACAGAGCTAATCAGTCTTTGCTACATTTCTTACGCACATCACACATATTTCTTGAGGAATTGCTATCTTTATTTTAGAGAGAGAAGAGCAATTCACAGAAAGGAGCAGTATCTTGGCTTGAGAGGGGGTGGGCATGCCACAGCACAGGCGACAGGAGTTCTGGTTGTGGTTCCACCACGCTGTGTGGCCCTCACAAATAACCCCTCTCTGCAAACCCTGGTTTCCTGTTTATGAAGCAGGAATGATAACAATATCAGTTCTAGGAAACAAGGGGCTGTTGAGACCAAATGAGATAAATGTGGGGTGAAATAATTATCATAAAGGCAGACATCTGGGCTCTCCGTTGGGCAAGAACTGTCTTAAAAGAAAACATGTCTTGATGATCTTCTCGAGGTGGGAAGGGAGACGGGAAGTGCGGGTCTGACAGGATAAACGAGCAGGTGACACCATTCTGCAGGAGCAGTGACGGGGCATTTAGAAGGAGTGGGCACCCAGGAGAGCAGAGACGGCACAGCGTGAGAAGAGGCTGCTGCGCGCCAAGGCGCTTTTAAGAACGGGACATTTTATCACCACTTTTCAGTTGTTTGAGCTTCTGCCTCCCCAGACTCTCGGTACAATTGCGGCTGTTTTGTTGGTGGAAATCAGTGAGAAGAAAATGAATTCTGTGTCTAGTTCAGTTTACAGCAGAGGCAAGAGGAAGCCTGAAGTAGGGGCAGGGCGTGAAGGGCAGAGCTCAGGGTTTTCATGCAGGTCCGGCCCTTGCAGACATGGTTCAAGCACAACCCACAGACTTTCATGAAACACTCAGTCTCCAAAATGTGTGTAGGAAGGGCCTGAGAGGACTGCTGCAAATACGTTATTGTTCCCAGACGTATCTAAGGGCAGCTAAAGTCATAACATTTATGGTGATATTGCTTAAATTACATTTTCTAATATCTCACTCATACATGTATTACCTATATTATTATACTATTAATTACACCTTCATTGATTTTTAAAATTTTATTCTGTTAAGATTAGATGAGGATGCATTTTCTAAAAACTACAGGATTACCCAAACAGAACAGATTGCATTTCAAGGTTAGGAAGTTTTTCTAATAATAATTTATGGCCCAAGTATAATGTGATGAAGTGTGTCGTAGGTACCAACCTGAGACTATGTTTGCCAAGACTTGAATAAAAAATGGGGGAAATGATTTCTAGCCCTTGTTAGAAATGCCCTCAGAATGCTTTTTATTTCTAAAGAATGCTGCATTGTATATGTGCAGGTATTTTTCAGCCAAACGGTTTAATTTGTAGAGATTTTATATCACGTAAGATTTGTTTCCTATGCATTTTCTTCCAAAACTATAAAAAGACTAGGTTCTACCTTAATTTCTAAGAAAAATGTTATAAACCTTTATTATGATGGTACAATATATCAAACAATGTAATTTTTACATTTTCACCTTTGAGAGTTATTTTTCCCCAAGCTTCTGCCTTTTTTTTTGAGTATTTGCAAAGCTCTGCAAATGACAGGCGCATCCACAATGCAAAGAATAATCTTTCTTTGGGGCTGTTCCTGGGGTAGTGATTAGTGGCGTCTTCACTGAATATTTAACTTCCTCAGAATTGCTTATCTGTGCTGTGGATCAGTGCAAGATCTGGGTGAACTGTCGCTACTCTACATAATTAAGTTTTCCTTGCCAAAAAAAGAGAAAGTAGTAAAATATGAAGTGAAAGAAGCGGAAAGTTGGACTTATTTTTATTGCATTTTAGGTTTTGGGGTACATGTGAAGAACATGCAAGATTGTTGCATAGGTACACACATGGCAGTGTGATTTGCTGCCTTCCTCCCCCTCACCTATATCCGGCATTTCTCCCCATGCCATCACCCCCCAACTCCCCACCCCCCGCTGTCCCTCCCCTATTTCCCTCCAACAGACCCCAGTGTGTAGTGCTCCCCTCCCTGTGTCCATGAGTTCTCATTGTGACTTTTAAAACATCTTCCCTTCATGTTATTTTCTCATTGAAAAGAACCTGAAACAAAAGCAAAATATTTGCGTTTTAGGAGGGAGGTTATGCAGGTCAGTCAGGTGGACAGCTCACATTTTCTTGCAAAACTCTTAGGAATTTTCCTCCGCAGACTCCTCCGCTGTCAGTGATAAGTAGTAAATGCCATAAAGAAAACAATTTCCCATTGTTCAAAAGCTGACTGGTGTGGTATGTGGGTGAGGCAAAAGAGAGGGGAGGGAGTTAAGTTCTATTGTAGGGAAACCAATGCCAGACAGAGCTATTAACTCAGATGTACTGAAGTGATAGTTCAAGTTTCTCATGTCACTGTCAACTAGTGCAAAATCACTGCACAGGGCTGTGCTTAATCCCATTTTTTTATATGTAGAAAATACGCCCCTTTTAATGCGTAGCTAGGATGTCTACTCACTTTCTAGGCCTGCGTGGATGAAGCAGACTTTGCTGGCTTAGTTGGACATCACTCTTCGCTTCCTCTCTTTTGAGGGGGCTAGCGGACCCGATGGAATCCCCTCCCCTGTATTCACTGAACACGCTAATGTATGGGGGTGTCTTTTCCTCGTTCGTGTAATTGGGAAAATTGCATTTGCTTATCTATTGCAAATGAAAATCATCTGGGGAATATAAAAAGCATTTTCAATTCGGCTACCATTATTTCAGAAGCAATCAAATGCAGAGGAATGAAAGTCAAACATGGAGAAAAATGCTGATAGATTGGGCAATCTGCATGGCTCTCTGGGACCATCATTATTTCAGTGTTCAAGAGGAAAATGCACATTTGAAAGATGGTAAATTCCATCACATGCAATCAATCATTCACCTCCTCTAGCAACAATAATTGTGGGGAAGATAGTGTTCAGACATTAACTATGTAGTCGTCCCTGCTTGTTTGTTAGTTTGTTTCATACTAAATCTCATGCAACATTATGTGGACATCTCAGCCCCACTAGAATATAGCTTCTAGATGCTTCTGAGATATTGGTACTCAGTACCATTCACCCGCACAGGAGGGGGTCAGAGTAAATACTGCAGCCTCAAAGAGCAAGATGCTCCGCACTGTCTTTCATCTAAAACATTTTGTCCTTTCATTCCAGATTTTAAAAATAGGTTATCTGTCTGCATTTTATGCATTTTTTCTATCTTTATAATCTGAAGGTGATTTTATTAATACAGTAAATCTTGGTTGACTGATACTTTAGGAAGATGCTTTTTCTGGGTAAACTAAAAGCCTGACGTGGCTCTTCCTGGTGTTCTAAATATTTTATCAGCAATGTCTCTCCACCCCCTTCCTATTCATAGTCTCTTTCAGTTTAATGATATAAAGCAGGTGGTAGGGTTGTCAAAACCGGGTTTCCATTAGAAACAATCTCTGAGAATGTGGTGTATTTTCTCCCTTATTTTTCTCATTATGAGATGATTCAGGCTCAAAGGCCCATGTGGCGGTTTGGAGAAAGATATATCCTGTTCAAAACCAATGTTCAGAAAGTTTTAGAGCCGTGAAATCAGATATCATAGTTTTTACACTTTTTAAAGCTTTCAATTGTGAATTCTGGGTTTCTCTTTTTATTTTAAACTCTGAAAAAAGCCCAGTTTCTAACAGCACCTCCCCTCCCACCCCCTTCTGGTACTGGCTCTAGCAGCACTGGGAAGGGAACGGCGTCTACGGGAGTCGGAGGCGCATTTATGCATCAGTCTTGATGCTTGGGAAAAAGCGATTTAGTCACTGTTAACTTCTTTAATTATTGATGGCGCAGAAAATTTTATCTCTCTCATCTCTCATTTGTAACCCTTTTCTCTAAATAAAAGTGATGCTGGATATTGAAATTATTTAGTGCAAGAAACTAAAAATAGCTTTCCCTCTAAGATTTTTTTTGGCAAGAGAGATGATACATTATATATGTATATTTTACCTCAATTAAATTTTTTTTTTTTGAAAAAAGAAAATTCGAGAGAAAAATAGAAAGAAAGGAAAAGCATAGTTGGGGATATGTCACTTCAGAATCCCGTGCCTTAGAATGGGACAGAAGGCGAGTATTAGTAAAAATGAGAAGGCTGGAAGCAGTGGCTCTCGCCTGTAATCCCAGCTCTTTGGGAGGCCGAGGCAGGCAGATCACCTGAGGTCAGGAGTTCAAGACCAGCCTGACCAACTTGGTGAAACCCTGTCTCTACCAAAAATACAAAAAATTAGCCGGCTTGGTGACAGGTGCCTGTAATCCCAGCGACTCTGGAGGCTGAGGCAGGAGAATCGCTTGAACCATGGAGGTGGAGGTTGCAGTGAGCCCAGATCGCACCATTTCACTCCAGCCTGGGCAACAAGAGTGAAACTCTGTCTCAACGGAAAACAAAAAAACGAACCAGAAAACAGGAGAGGGTTGATTGCTGCTTTATTTGACATAATATAAAAGCTACTATCATTTCCTCCTTGAAAACCTTTAATTGAAATATAATATACACACAGAAAACAGCACATAAGTAAGTAGCTGAATGCATTTTCACAAACTCACACACCATGTAATCAATACCCCAGACCAAAAAGAAAAAAAAAGAAAAGAAGCTGTCCTAATGGTATCCAGAAGCCCTCCTCGTATTTCCTTCCGGTTACCACCCCTCATTCCAATGGTGACCGCTATCCCAACTTCCGGCAGCGTAGCCTGTTTTGATTTGTCAGGCTATATATTAATGTATACTTAATACATATCATATATTATAGATTAATATATTATGTATTATATACTAATCAATTATATAAAATATATTGGCAACATATATTTATTAGTATATATTAATATATAAATCAATTGTAATATATAATATATAATACTGTAAATAGTATATAGTATATTTATGTATACTGGTATACTACATATAATAAATGGGATGATGCAGAATGCGCTCTTTTGCCTGGCTTCTTTCACTCACATTGCATCTGTGAGATTGTTGCATGCTGTTTGAGATTGCTCACTGATCCACTACCTTCTAACTTCTTGTCTGTTCAAGAACTGACCTCCCTCCTCCAGGGCCTGCAGGGAAGAAGCCTGGGACCTAGAATGGCGAGCAGCAACTCTGGAGGCTATACTTGGTGTTTGTGGACAGAGCGGCCAGGTAGGGAAGGTGCTGTCACTTTCACGCCTCACAGGGCATTTTAATTTGACATTATACTTGTGAATAGCCATTATTTTTCCTTAGAGGGATGACAGTGGTTAAGGCACAGAATTGGGAACCAGGATATCTGTCTTGAAAGCTCAATTCTTCTACTTGTTAATCATATCATTTTGGGTAAGTTATGCAATCTTTTGTTGCCTTAATATTTTTATCCGTAAAGTGGGGATAATAACGTCTTTCTTGTAGGATGAGTCCTTAATGAGGTATGTATTACCTTTCACTAATATGTGTAAAACCTTTAGAGTGTCTGGCATATGCGCAGCACTGTGTAAATAGGCTGTTATTGGTTCTCTCACTAGTGCTTCATTTTCCTGCTTCCATATTGCTTCAGTCTTTGAGCGCAGAACGGGGGAATAACGTAGGCAAACTCATCAGCTGTAGGGGAGAGGCACTTCGGGCAGAAATAAAAGAGGTTCTTGACATCATTTGCCTTTTGCTTCTACTTCATTAGTTTTAGACATAAGTATATACATTTAATTTTCAGTAGCTCATTGTTAATTAAAAACTATAATTACTCACTGGAAAAATAATAAATATTAACATGTAACATATGGTGATGAAAATTTAATTTACCACAACAACTATATTGCCTCACAAAATCATACAGAGAAGTATTAGCTATAAGAAACTGCAGACTTTTGCTTTAATCCACTTTCTTGATCCATTATTTACTATCAGTGTTGACAGCATGGAACTGCCTTTGCAGTATTTATGATCTGAAGTATTTTATGGAAATGGTGGTAAGGACGAGGTGGTACCACAGCCTGAAAAGTATCGAAATATTCGCCACCTTCCCTTCACCTCCTCACTTCCACTCACCTTTTCTTCACCTACCACTCCCACCCATCTCCCACTTCCTTACACCCTCCAGGGTGAGCTGGGAACAACAGTGAAGTACCATTTTCCTACAAAAAATAACACACTATTAAATGTTAAATAGTCTCAGTGTAGTTTTGATATTGTCCCAACTAGTATCACACATAGGAAAGAGGGTCTAACAGACTTCAAAAAGGTTTATATAAAACATAATTTTTTTAAAAAACAGGGCATTATAATATGTATAGATATTATATTATTTAAATTGGGCATTAAAATTTTCAAGGATAGCAGCAGGGTGGGGTCTGGGGGAGGGATGGCATTAGGAGAAATACCTAATGTAGATGATGGGTGACGGATGCAGCCAACCACCATGGCACGTGTTAACCTGTGTAACACACCTGTATGTTCTGCACATGCACCCCAGAACTTAAAGTATAATAATGATAATAAAGAAAAAAATGTTTAGTATATAGCTTAACATTTTGTTACTTCTGAAAACTTAGTTCTGTAAAAATGTTCTAAATGCCATCAGGCGCTATGATTTTCTGAGAAAGCAGTTTAAGAAATTTCAGCAAAAATTGCACTGCTATTGTCTTTTGCCTTTAAGAAATTTGTTTGATTTCTCATTTTTATTGGTATAAAATGTGTGAAAACAGAATGTCTAGAAGGCACAGGATACAGATATTATAAAGCCTTAAGGGTAGCTTAGAG